ACGCTGGGGGATATTGGGGATGTTGAGGGCAGTGGGGACAAGGGGTACAAGCTGGGGACATTGGGGTCAAAGGGGACATTGGGGGCAGTGGAACACTGGGGGATATTGGGGACATTGAAGGATATTGGGGACACTGGGGTGATGTGGGGATGCTGGGGATATTGGGGACGTTGGGGGACACTGGGGGCAGAGGGGAGATGGGGACAAATTGGGGATGTTTGGGGTATTAGGGGACATTGGGGACAGTGGGGACATGGGGACAAACTGGGGTCATTGGGGACATTAGGGGACATTGGGATCAGTGGGGACATTGGGGGGCAGCAGGGATGTTGGGACATTGGGGGCAGGGGGGACATGGGGACAAACTGGGGTCATTGGGGACATTAGGGGACATTGGGGGCAGTGGGGACAAGGGGTACAAACTGGGGACATTGGGGTCAAAGGGGACATTGGGGGATACTGGGGACATTGGGGGCAGGGGGGACATGGGGACAAACTGGAGATGTTTGGGGTATTAGGGGACATTGGGGTCAATGGGGACATTGGGGACATTGAGGGCAGTGGGGACATGGGGACAAACTGGGGTCATTGGGGTCAGTGGGGACAGTAGGGTCACTAGGGACTTTGAGGGACATTGGGGCAGTGGGGATGTTGGGACGTGGGGACAAACTGGGGACATTTGGGGTATTAGGGGACATTGGGGGCAGTGGGGACAGTAGGGTCGCTGGGGACGTTGAGGGACATTGGGGTCAATGGGGACGTTGGGGGACACTGGGGACATGGGGACAAACTGTTGTCACTGTGGGTTTTCGGGGCCCTTGGGGACAGTGGGGACGCGTGCCCCGTTAACCCCTTCCCTCCCGCAGGTCATCAACTTCTTCCCAGGGATGAACAAGAGCATCAACGTCGTCTGTGCTGCTAAGGTGACCCCACAGCCTGGCTGCCACCCCCCCATGTCCCCAACGTCCCCACGTGTCACCCCCACAGTGTCCCCATATGTCACCCATACGTTGTCCTCGGTGTCCCCATGTGTCACCCTCTCTGTGTCCCCAACATCCCCATGTGTCACCCCCACGTTGTCCCCATTTGTCACCCATATGTTGTCCCCAACGTCCCCATGTGTCACCCCCACAATGTCCCTATATGTCACCTATATATTGTCCTTGGTGTCCCCATGTGTCACCCCTAAGATGTCCCCATGTGTCACCCTCTCTGTGTCCTCAACGTCCCCACGTGTCACCCCCACAATGTCCCTATATGTCACCTATATGTTGTCCTCGGTGTCCCTTTGTCACCCCCAAAATGTCCCCAAGTGTCACCCTCTCTGTGTCCCCAACATCCCCATGTGTCACCCTCCTGTTGTCCCCATGTCACCCATATGTTATCCTCAGTGTCCCCATGTGTCACCCCCACAGTGTCCCCAATGTCCCCATGTGTCACCCCCATGTTGTCCTCATTGTCCCCATGTGTCACCCCTACGTTCTCCTCAATGTCCCCTTGTCACCCCACAATGTCCCCATGTGTCACCCCCACAGTGTCCCCAATGTCCCCATGTGTCACCCCCACATTGTCCCCATATGTCACCCATATGTTGTCCTCAGTGTCCCCATGTGTCACCCTCTCTGTGTCCTCAGTGTCCCCTTGTCACCCCCACAATGTCCCCATGTGTCACCTTCTCTGTGTCCCCAATGTCCCCATGTGTCACCCCACGTTGTCCCCATGTGTCACCCGTATGTTGTGCTCGTTGTCCCCATGTGTCACCCCCACAATGTCCCTATATGTCACCCATATGTTGTCCTCAGTGTCCCCATGTGTCACCCTCTCTGTGTCCTCAGTGTCCCCTTGTCACCCCCAAAATGTCCCCATGTGTCACCCTCTCTGTGTCCCCAGTGCCCCCATGTGTCACCCCTACATTCTCCTCAATGTCTCCTTGTCACTCCCACAGTGTCCCCATGTGTCACCCTTTCTGTGTCCCTAATGTCGCCATGTGTCACCCATATCTTGTCCTCATTGTCCCCATGTGTCACCCCCACGTTGTCCCCATGTGTCACCCATATCTTGTCTTCATTGTCCCCATGTGTCACCCTCTCTGTGTCCCCAATGTCCCCGTGTGTCACCCCCACGTGTCACCCATATGTTGTCCGCATTGTCCCCACGTGTCACCCCCACAATGTCCCCATATGTCACCCGTACGTTGTCCTCGGTGTCCCCTTGTCACCCCCACAATGTCCCCATCTGTCACCCTCTGTGTGTCCCCAACGTCCCCATGTGTCACCCCCACATTGTCCCCATATGTCACCCATATGTTGTCCTCAGTGTCCCTATGTGTCACCCTTTCTGTGTCCCCAATGTCCCCATGTGTCACCCCACGTGTCCCCATGTGTCACCCGTATGTTGTCCTCATTGTCCCCATGTGTCACCCCCACAATGTCCCCATGTGTCACCCTCTGTGTCCCCAACGTCCCCATGTGTCACCCCCCATTGTCCCCAGTGTCCCCTCACTCTCTGGTCTCTCCCCAGCGGCCGCGTTCAAAGGGCGATCTGGTAAGGGAGGACCCAAAATCTGCTGGTTTCACCCCAAAATCTGCTACTTTCACCCCCAAATCCTGCTGGATGTCCCCAGATCCTTTAGTTTCACCCCAAAATCTGCTGGTTTCACCCCAAAATCTCTTGGGTGTTTCCAAAATCCACGGGTTTTACTCCCAAATCTGCTCATCTCACACCAAAGTCCTGCTGGTTTCAACCCAAAATCTGCTGGTTTCACCCCAAAAAACACTTGGCTGTCCCAAAACTTGCTGGTTTCACCCCAAAAAACTGCGAGTTTCACCCCAAAGTTTTGCTGATTTCGTGCCAAAATCTTGCAGGTTTTTTTCCCAAAATCTGCTGATTTCAGCCCAAAGTCCTTTTTCAGGGCATCCCGAAATGCACCCCAAAATCGGACGGAATGTCCCCAAATCTTTCTGACTTCACCCCAAAATCTGCTGGGTGTCCCCACCCCAGTGTCCCTGGCTGTGTCCCCATTGTCCCCAATGTCCCCATGCAATGTCCCATTGGTGTCCCCAGTGTCCCCATGCAGCGTCACAACGATGTCCCCATTGTCCCCCATGTCCCCATGCAGTGTCCCCATTGTCCCCAGTGTTCCCATGCAGTGTCCCATTGGTGTCCCCAGTGTCCCCATGCAATGTCCCCAATGTCCCCATGCAGTGTCCCATTGGTGTCCCTGATGTCCCCATTGTCCCTAGTGTCCCCATGTAGTGTTACAGTGATGTCCCCCACGTCCCCCATAGTGTCCCCATGCATGTTCCCAATGTCCCTATTAATGTCCCCAATGTCCCCAGTGTCCCCAATGTCCCCATGCAGTGTCCCATTGGTGTCCCTGATGTCCTCAGTGTCCCCATTGATGTCCCCATTGTCCCCATTGATGTCCCCATGCAGTGTCTTATTGATGTCGCCATGTCCCCATGCAATGTCCCCATTGTCCCCAATGTCCACATGCAGTGTCCCATTAATGTCCATGACGTCCCCAGTGTCCCCATACAGTGTCCCATTGATGTCCCCATTGATGTCCCCAGTGTCCCCCATGTCCCCATGCAGTGTCCCATTGATGTCCCCATTNTGATGTCCCCATTGATGTCCCCATTGTCCCCCATGTCTCCATGCAATGTCCCATTAATGTCCCTGATGTCCCCAGTGTCCCCATGCAGTGTCCCATTGGTGTCCCCAGTGTCCCCATGCAGTGTCACAGCGATGTCCCTGATGTCCTTAGTGTCCCCATTGTCCCCCATGTCCCCATGCAGTGTCCCATTAATGTCCCCAACGTCCCTGATGTCCCCAATGTCCCCATACAGTGTCCCGTTGATGTCCCCATTGATGTCCCCATTGTCCCCCATGTCTCCATGCAGTGTCCCATTAATGTCCCTGATGTC